TAATTATAAAGTAACTAAACTTTTATTAAATTCTCAATCTTAGTTACTTAAGAAAGATGTGAAAATGGTGTTATTCCATGAAATTGCTCTTTGCACTTTGCTAAGTCGTTAGTGGAGCGTGTGTGGTTAACTGGTTCAGTAATCTGGGACTGGCAATGGTAGCAAAGGGTAGGTTGGTGTTAATCATAGATGAATGGAGCGTGTGTGGTTAATCGGAAGATTGATTAGGTGATCTTCGGCATCCCAGTCACAAACTTGAAGGGCACAATGGACATTTAAACATGCCATTGAAAAGTTTAATGAATCTCAAATGAATCTAGCAATTTCAATCCAATTAAAACTTATTAATCAATTTCGTTTTTCATGGTGGAAATTGGTAAATCGTCATTTACCTACCTTCAAATATTTTGCAATTGGATGACGACATCCCTCTTCCGAATTGTAAAATATTGTGTTGGGTCCTAACCTTAATATTTCATTTGGGTGTTATATTAAGGACTCTCATCTAATCTAAACTTTGTTCTTCTTTCTTTTCAGATGTGTATCTCAAACAATGCGTTAGGCTCCAACCCTTCTAGCTCGTTCTCCCTCATGAACTTGCTTGGGACAACTATCTTCGATGGGTCAAACTTTAACGATTGGATAAGAAACATTCTTATGGCCCTTCACTATGAGGACAAAGAATATGTCCTCGATAAAGAGCTGAAGGAGATTGATAAACAAACTGCTACTCCCGAACAAATCGAGAAATATAGGGTTTATGAGAGGGATGAGATAAAGGTGTCATGCATTATAATTGTTTCCATGACCACTAAGCTACAAAATTCCTACGAGGACTTCTGGCCCTTCAAAATGCACCAAGATTTGATGGAAATGTACCATCAAAGTGCTCGCCAAGAAAGGTATGAGATCATTGCCTCCATTATCACAACCAAAATGAAGGATGGAGAGTCCATCACAGCCCACTTGCAAAAGATACAAAGATATGTGGACCGCTTGCTAAAATTGAATGTCAATTTTGATGAAGAGTTGGCCATAGATATCATTCTACACTCTTTACCTTCTTTCTATGATCAGTTATGTATGACCTATCATGTGAACAAGGAGTATGTCACTCTTAGCAAGCTTTAAGGCCTTCTAAGAGCCACCGAAAGCAACATGAAAGGCAAGACAGTTATACCTACTCCTACTACTACTGCCCCTGTTCTGGAAATAGGACATGGGAAAGGGAAGAAGAGGAAGGCTCCTTATAAGAGCCGTAATGGAAAGTCTCGTGATGTATCCTCTTCCAGTGGGACCAAAGTTGGTTCTGTGCTAATCCCTCGACCAATTCGAAGGATGCGGAGTGCTTCCATTGTCATGAAAATGAACAGAAACGAAGCTGTCCCAAATACTTGCAAGACATTAAGGATGGGAAGATAAAGCCCACCTTTGTAGGTATTTACACTATTCTTTCTAATAACTCACTGCATGTTAATTCTTGGGTCCTTGATACAGGTTGTGTTTTTCACATTTGTTCTGATGTGCATGGACTAAAAAGAAGTAGGGATGTGGAGCACGTGAAGATAAACTTAATCATGGGAAATAGAAAAATGTCATCTGTCACCAAGATTGGAGTTCATTCTTTATTGCTAAGTAGTGAGCTATAATTAGAATTGAATAGTTGTTGTTACTCATCTGAAATGGCGAGAAATATTATTTCCTTTCATATTTTCTATAAACAAGGTTTTACCTTTTCTTTCAATAATGAAATTGGTAGTATAAATGCTTATTATAATAGTATTATTTATTTTGAAGCATTACCTTGTAATCGTATATATGAAACTGTGATGATTGTAGATAACCTAGAAAATAATGTGTTGAATATTGATTCGTCCAATGTTTTGGACAAGGAATGCTTGTGGCATTGTCATCTTGGGCATGTCAACAAGAAGCGTGTAGACCAACTCCAAAAGGATGAAGTTTTTGGAGTCATTCGACTTGAAGTTGGATGACACTTCCAAATCTTGCTTGCTTGTAAAGATGATCAAGTCAACCTTCACTGATACTTGTGAAAGGGATAAAGGTCTGTTGGATCTGATACACACCGATGTACGTGGACCCTTTTAGAACTTCCATAAGGGATGCATACTGCTTCTATGTGACTTTGACTGATGATTACAGCAGATATGGCTAGATCTAATTAATCAAGCATAAGTTGGAAACCTTTGAAAAGTTCAAAGATTTTAAGCAGGAAGTGGAGAATCAATTAGGCAGGAAGATAAAGATGTTGTGATCCGATCGAGGAGGAGAGTATCTTAGTATCGAGTTCCTAGACTATCTTAAGGAATATAGAATTGATTTACAGTTGACACCACCTAGGACACCGCAATTGAATGGTGTGGCTGAGAGGTGCAGTCAAAACTTATTGGACATGGTTCGTTCCATGATGAGTCGAGCTTCATTACCTATCTCATTCTCGGGGTTTGCCTTAGAGACTGCCGCCCATATCCTTAATCTAGTCCCTATTAAGAAGGTTGCCAAAAAACCTCACGAGATATGGACAAGGAAATCTCCCTCGTTAGATCACATCAAAGTTTGGGGTTGCGAGGCTTTCATGAGATGAGAGACTCATGACAAGCTCAAACCTCATAGTGAGCGATGTATTTTCATCGGCTACCCACAGAAGTCCTTTGGATATCTCTTCTATAGACCGAGTGGCAATGTTGCCTGCGTTGCGATGAGAGGGGTTTTCCGAGAAAGAGAACTCATATGCCAAAAGGAGAATGGGATGCAAATTGACCTTGAAGAGCTTCAAGGGTTAAGTGATGAAGGAACCTCAAACACTAGCGCTCAACCTGAGGAGGAAACTCATGTTGAACCAATTGACAAGTCTGTACCTCTAAGGCGTTCCAGTAGATTTTGTGTTCCACCTGTGTTATATGGTTTTCATATAACAACTGAAGGTGATACGTTTATCAGTGATAGTACATTGATAAATCTGGATGGACCTAACAACTATAAGGAAGCCATGTCAGGCCACGAGTCGGCTAAATGGAAAAAGGCAATGGACAGCGAGATTCAGTCCTTGTATGACAAACAAATTTGGAAATTGGTTGACAATGTACCGGGTCGTAAGATAGTCAGGTGCAAATGGATCTTTAAGAAGAAGACTGACATGGATGGGAAAGTACAAACATATAAGGCGCAACTGGTTGTGAAGGGATTTACTCAAACTCAGGCAGTTGACTTTGATGAGACCTTCTCACTAGCGGCCAAGATTAAATCTATAAGGGTTATGCTTGCCCTAGCTACATTTCATGACTATGAAATATGGAAAATGGATGTCAAAACTGCTTTCCTTAATGGAAAGTTGGCTGAAGATGTTTACATGTGTCATCCAGAGGGTTTTGTCAATGCAAAGTACCCTAATAGAGTGTGTAAGCTTGAAAAATCTATTTATGGATTGAAACAAGCATCTCGCAGATGGAATCTTTGTTTCGATGAGAAAGTCAAAGAGTTTGGATTTTTGAGAAGCAAGGATGAGTCATGTGTACATGTCAAAGCTAGTGGGAGTATAGTTAGCTTTCTGGTGTTGTATGTGGATGACATACTACTAATAGGAAACGACATCCCAGCCTTACAAGAGGTTAAGTCCTGGCTTGGGAAGCGCTTCGCTATGAAGGACCATGGGGAAGCTCCTTACATGCTAGGGATAAGGATATTAAGAAACAAGAGTAAAATACTAATAGGACTTAGTCAAAGTACCTACTTGGACAAGGTGTTGAAGTGTTTTAGCATGGAGAACTCCAAGAAATGTGACATACCTATCCAAAGCAATACCAAACTGAGTAAGACTCATAGTTCGAGTATAGAGGCTGAGATAGCAGAAATCAGTCTAGTACCATATGCTTTCGCGGTTGGCTCGATCATGTATGCTATGACTGGTACTCGCCCTAATGTGGCCTTTGCTTTGAGCATGGTCAGTACATATCAAGGGAATCCTAGTAAAGCTCACTGAACTACAGTAAAGAACATTCTTAAGTACCTGCGGAGGACTACGGACTGGGTTCTTACCCTCGGTGGGAGTGATGACTTAAGAGTGATAGGGTATTGTGACGCCAGTTTTCAGACCGATAGAGATAATTTCTGCTCTCAGTCGGGCTGGGTGTTTACCGTAATGGAGTAGTAACATGGAAGATTTCCAAGCAAGAAACTGTAGCTGATTCAATGTACGAATCACAGTACATAGCCGCAAGCGAAGCATCGAAAGAGGTGATATGGTTGAAAAACTTCATCCGAGACCTTGGAGTTGTTCCATCCATAAAGGACATGTGGAAGTTTTTTGTAATAATGAAGGGGCGGTTGCCTTAACCAAGGAACCCAGAGATCATGGTAGATCCAGGAATACCGACAGAAAGTACCAATTCATAAGACATCAAGTAGAAGAAGAGCACCTCGTGGTGAAGAGGATATCGTTAGAGGACAACCCAATAGATCCCCTTACGAAGGGACTGAGTAGGGTTAAGCGCTTGCAACACGCAAGGGGAATTGGGTTAACGGACGATATTAGTTTTAGTGATTAGATTAATATTTAGAAACTTGTAATAGCCAAATTGTAATTGACATTTGATGATTAAGTAAAAGGTGTTTTATTTAGGGATAATGTCACTGTAGCACATGGAACTTTTAACATTTGGCTAATTTGGTCCTTAAAGTTTTTTTGGTACATTAGACCAGTAAACTCGTAATTGACCTTTTAATTACACCATTTTAGCAACTTTTAGAAGGTTTCCCGGTTATACGATGCCATTTTGTCAATTAATATATATTTTTTGTCTAATTCGATGCCACGTGAGATATGCCACGTCAATTAATGAAATACGACGCTTAAACCCTTTCGTCTTCAGCTATTGAACTTCACTAGTCTTCATCTTCATTATTCAACTGTAAAAGAAACTGATTTAGGGTTTGTAAAGCATTCCTGTGATCGAGCTGAAAGAAACAAAGAACTCGCAGCAATGGCACAATTGGAATCTAATGGACTGTTTGCGATGGTGGAACTCAACTACCAAGGGGTATTTAATCGAAATCCTTTCTCTTACAGTGGTGGTGTTAAAACCATCTTCAATGATGTTGACTTTTCTTCTATGACTTATTCTGAGTTTGTGACCTTCTGCGAATGTTTCATGCATGAAGAGTGTAAAAAGTTTTACTACTGTGAACCAGACATGTCCTTCATGGAAGGGCTTAATCCCATTTCAGATGATGTGGAGAATTCTGCTTTTATTTTTGATGCTTATGGAACAGATGGTGTAATTTCGGTTTATGTGGATCATATTGGGGTTGGTGTTGATGGGTGGCATGATGATGAAGATAATGATGATGATGAACATGAGTCTTGTATTGATGGTGAAAATGAAGAGAACATAGATGAACTTAGAAATGTTGCCCTTGAATTTAATGAGGATGTAGTGCATATGAATAGGACATCAAATGATCCTTTCTTGAGTAAGCTATGTGTTGATGATGCGGATGCAAACAACATTTAGATGATGACAATGGGAGAGAAGTTGAAGTTAACATACAAACTCATTCCATATTTAATGAGCTATTACACTGGAAAAAACAAAAACCAATTCTAGGGATGAGATTTAAGGGTCTAGGGCAAGTAAAATCAATGTTGTGTAACTATGCTGTAGCTAATGGATATCAATTGTGTTTTGAAGAAAATGATAGGACAAGACTTTTGGTGAGGTGTAGAAAAGGTGCGTGCACATTTAGATTATGGGCTTCCTGGATGAGTGATGAAGAGAGTTTCAAAATCAAGTCACTAAAAGCTTATCATAATTGTGCTAGGAACTTCAAGTTTGGATCATTGGTGACATATGCATGGATTGGGAGTCACTATACCAAAGAGATTGTAGAAAGTCAGAAAATAAGTGTAAGGAAGCTTAGGTTAAAGGTAATGGCCAAGTTTGGTATCCAAGTTAGTATGGGGCAATGTAGAAGAGCAAAGAAGTATGTACTGAAACTTGTTGAAGGTAACCTTGTTGAACATTATGGTAAGCTATGGTCATATGGTCATGAGATTTTAAGGACAAATCCTGGGTTAACTGTGAAACTAGATATGGAGGATGGTCTAGATGGAAAGAAATATTTTAGCAAGTTCTATTGTTGTTTTCAAGGAGTTAAACAAGGTTGGATTGAAGGGTGTAGAAGGGTAATTGGTCTTGATGGATGTTTTCTTAAAGGTGTTTGTAAGGGAGAATTGCTTTGTGCTATTGGGAGGGATGCAAATGACAAGATATATCCTATTGCTTGGGTAGTGGTTAATGTGGAGAACAAGCAGAATTGGAAGTGGTTTATAGAGCTTCTCATTGATGACTTACACTTGAATTTAGGCAATGGTTTCAGTTTAATGTCAGAACAACATAAGGTTAGTAGTTTACATAGTAATGCATTTATGTTAATTTTAGACTATCTGAATTAAACCTTTTTACTACTACAGGGTTTGATAGAGGCTGTTAAAGAGTTACTGCCATATGTAGAGCACAGGCAGTGTGCTAGACATATTTTCCAGAATTTGCAGAAGAGATTTACTGGTGCCATATATCATACCTTGTTTTGGAGAGCATCTAAAGCCATAACTGAGCATGCTTTTAAAGTTGTGATGAACGAAATTGAGACATTGAACCCAGATGCCCATCAATATCTCATGGAGAAAGATCCTAAAACATGGTCTAGAGCTTTCTTTCAAACTGGAAGGTGTTGTGATGCAGTTGAAAATGGGTTCTCAAAAAGTTTTAATGTTGTAATAGTAGATGCTAGGAAGAAGCCCATAATAACCATATTAGAGCAGATAAGATTATACATGATGGACATAATCTACAACATGAAATTAAAGGGACAACAATGGGGAAATCATATTTGTCCATAGATAAGGGATAAGGTGAATTTGCTTAAAAAATCTCAAAGGCATTATCAGGTACTACCAAGTGGATTAAACCAGTTTGAGGTAAGGGGAGCAATAGATGCATATGAGGTGGACTTAGAAAGAAAAACATGCTCATGTAGGTTATGGAAATTGAATGGATATGGATGTGATCGTTCTGTAGCTAGCATATCCTTTCTAATTAGGGATGTAGAAGCCTATGTAGACAACATGTTTAGCACAACCACATTTAGAAAGGCATACAATTATAGAATTGCTCCCATGAATAGCAGTGACATGTGGCTAGAGACAAACTATACTCCACCATTGCCTCCTATTAATAGAAGGATGCCTGGTAGGCCAACTACTAAGAGGAAGAAATCCACTACAGAGAATACAGGAACACACAGGGTTTCTAAGGTTGGAAATAAAATCAGATGTATTATTTGCAAGGAGATAGGTCACAACAAGGCCACTTGTCCACAGAGAAGGCCCCAAAAGTTAAATGTGAAGAAACAGAAGAAACAAAAAGTATGTGTGAACCAAAATGAAGGATAGGTAAAACAATTTAAAATATAAGATTAATTACATATAATTTGTTACTAACATAATTATATCATGCCATGTAGGGTAGTACAAGTGAACCACAACAACATGAAGAGGTTGAAATGACTCCAAATGAGATGGATACTACTCAAAATGATATGCAAGTTGCTCCTACTGATGTTGAATCTAGTAGTGCAGGGGATTTTAGTCATTATATGCAATTTACTCCACCTAGATGTTATGAAGGTGATGAGGGTGTTATGGGTGAGGAAGCTGATGTGGTTGAGGAAGCTGTTGTGGTTTAGCAAGTTGTTCAAGATGAGGAGGTTGAGGAGGTTGATCATGTTATCCAAGTTGATAATGTAAATGTTCAGGAGGTTGATGAGGTTAATCCTAATACCCAAGTGGATAATGGTAATGTTCAGGAGGTTGCTCATGTTAACCAAGTTCAGCAAGTTTGTGTTAGGCCAATTTCAGATATTTTGAAGAGGATAAGGAGAAGAAAGTCAGAGAGAATACTGAAGCTGAAATTAGGCAAAACAATTGGTGGTGTTGATGATCTAGGAAATTCTAAGGGAAAAGCTCTTGTAATTGATTAGTGTTTATTGTAATTTGTGTTTAAAGTTTATGTAATGGGATGATGGTAAATTGGATTTAAAGTTTATGTACTAGGATGATGGTAATTTATATTTAAAGTTTATGTAATAGGATGTTGGTAATTTATATTTAAGTATGTGTGACATTAAAGGGTATTTTGGTCATTTAAGTATGTATGAAAGAAAAAGGGTAATCTGGTCATTTAAGTATTTATGACAGAAAAGGGTAATTTGGTCATTTATTTATTGATGTAGGTAATTCATTTATGTATGCAAGAAAAGGGTAATTTGGTCATTTAAGTATGTATGATAGAAAAGGGTAATTTGATCATTCATTTATGTATGTAAGAAAAAGGTAATTTGGTCATTTAAGTATGTATGACAGAAAAGGATATGTTGGTCATTTATTTATGTATGCAAGAAAAGGGTATGTTGGTCATTTATTTATGTATGACATGAAGTATGAAAGTATGTTACCATTTTAAGTAAAATCATGACATTTGGCTTTGAATATTTATGCATGGAAAAAATTGGAATAATGTGCATGCATGGGGATGTTTTATATGGCCCCGGATTTGGTTTTTTAATGGCTTCATAGGTCCCATTTTTTCATTATTAAAATGGTCCCCATACACATAGTGTACTTCCACATGGATCACTTCCTAATTAAATATATTTTTTGGGAATATAGACTATGCATATGCTTGATAAACATCATCTGATTATACAAAATGCCCTACAATTGGGACTTTGAATATTTTTTTACGTTACTGATGTGTGTAAAACCAACTAGTTTTAATCCTACTAACTTAGACACAAAATAAACACACGAAAGGCAGTGTACCTATCGATTAGTAATATAGTTCAAGAAAGTAGGGTATCGAACACAGGGAACGGTAAACAATTAAAATAAATGCTAATATTATCTAAATAAAACAAATAACAAAAAGGGGGGTTTCTATAGTTTTACAAGACTAGAAACTTAATTAGAATAACCAACACACAAATTAACTAACTAGCAACTAAAACAATTAATTACCAACTAAATTCAATAGTAAAGAGGACTTCTGTTTAGGTACGACTCATTTGTTCCCATGGATGATTTTAATGTATCGGATTAATTCTTCATTGGCTACCGATTAAGATAATTAGGTTCATGTTCGCTATTCCTAATTCTTAGAAAACAAATTAACTCAAGCAATGGCCAGTTGTCTAAATTAACGGGTTTCCTAGATTATTGATTCGGGTTAAGTAAGACTTGTAGTGGTTAACTAAATTGGCCCTTCAATTAACCTCTTGTCGATGTTCATCCAACAAGCTTACACATTAACTTACCTATCTTCTAGTTAATTCTAGTTTCACGTTCGTTATTCCTAGACATACAACTATGTGGTCACAATAAATCATATGAAATTAATAACTAAGAGATGTTCATACAACTTAATTACTGATTTATTAATAGAAGAATAGTTATTGTCAACACATAAGGTTCTTTAACAAGCTTAACAAAACATAATTACCAATCAAAATTAATCCTACTCAAATAATCAATCCATGTTCACAAAATTGTCTACCCTAACAGAAGAATAAGTTTTTAGCTCATGATTGCAGTAAACATAAACTCAAAAACGAAATCAAAGTATGTAAACATGATTCAAATCAAAAAGTTACTAAGAATAAACCAAAATTGTCTTGATTCTCTTCACAATTGAATGTAGGGTTGATTCTTCAGTTCCTCACGACCTAGCAGCACTTCCAATCGTTTCTCAGCCTCCTAGGGTTTCTCTCCATGCTATGATATCGATCTGAAAGTCCCTTTATATAGATTTTCACAAAACAGAGGCTACTCGGCGAGTCCAGTGACCTACTCGGCGAGTCCGTCACTTAAAACCCGTGTACGGCAAGTCAGCGCGTCCAGAATCGCGAAAGTTCGATACAACTCGCCGAGTAATCGACCCTACTCGCCGAGTACGTTTCGAATCAGCATTTTCTCAAAACACGAAAGTCGTCCGAAATTGTGTCTACTTTTCAGAACATTTTGAATCTCGTCAATCGGAGTTACGGTTCATGAGATATGGCCAAAACACTGACGAGGGGTCAAGCTGTCCAGCAACATCCTTCTTTCTTCAAAATCCAAGATCCAAGCTTCCAATCGCTAGTTCCGCTTCATTTTCCTCGAGCATGTCATTGTTGCTGAAAATGAAATTTAAACTAATTAAGCACCTTTTGTTCATTAAATGAGATAAAATCAACATAAAGTATTAAGATAATGCATGAATTTTATAACTAAATATGCCCATATCAAAATACCCCACACTTGACTTTTGCTTGCCCCCAAGCAAAACTGAATTTTAGTACACTAATATTACATAAGACAATCCCAATCAAACCCACCATTATGCCAAGACCGCAACGCATGCATTTGTGTCTAAAATTTTCCTAATAACCCCCCATACTCCAAATACTCACAATCCTCATAAACATTCGCCCACTTTTTCCGAACAATGCTCATTTTATGCATCCCTCCGAATCCATCCTCAGAAAACCTCTTAACCTCAAGGTATTTTTGGTTGAGCAACCCAAGCATACATAATCTAGACAATTACAATTTATGATACCACATTGGAGCTCTTTGGAATTCTTCACTTCTTTGACATTTGATCTTTAATTTCTTTGAATTCACCACCTTGTTGTTTGATTTTTGGTATCTTCAACTTTTTGAATTCAGAATTTTGATCTTTTGATACTTTACTTTAATGCTCCAAAAATTCTTCAAACTTTTCTTGTAATTCTCTCTTTCTTTTTTTACATGTACTCACTTTTTTTTCACTCAAAACCTACATGCTTAAGCAGGGGCGCTCAACTTCAACCTTTATTGGTTACGATAATAATTTTCCTGGATACATTTCTGGTACACGATGCTAAACATATTGCATCCTTCAAACTAAGCGAGGTCGTGTTTTTGTCCCATGATTTCACTGGAATAAGGAAGCCACAAATGCACTAGAACGTATATAGGCTCAACTAAACATTTGGGTTTTCATGCAATCATCAAATATAATACTAGCATGATCCCTAATTGCTTTACCAAAATTTTCTAAATTTATCATAAATTAACTAAAATTTTAACTAATATAACCAACCCCCTACCCCACACTTAATTTATGCAATGTCCCCATTGCATATCATGCATGATAAAGAACAATAAAATAAGAGAGAATTGGAACAAACTCCCCTGGGATAGTAGTGCGAGGTTGAATTCTTCTTTCAGCTCCATCTTCAATTGACTTTAGACATGGGAACAACTCATCCATGTCTTGGGTGTCAAAATCTCGTGTGGTACAGTCTTTATAAAAGCTCCAAATATAAGGGAAAAACTCTTGGAAATGCTCGGAAAATGATCTTCAAAGAATAGAACCAATGCCCATATCAAATGTCATCAAATCTTCAGCTCAAAAGTAAGAAGAATGAGCGACTCGTCGAGTAAGTATGTAGACTCGCCGAGTTGAAGCTAAATGGCAGAAGAATCGTGAATTTTCACATGGACTCGGCGAGTAGACCGCTGTGTGACAAAAATTTTATTCTGCCCAAGTCCGTTTCTGATGTATGGGGGTTATATAAACTAATAATTTCCCTCATTTTTTTAGGTAATAAACACTCTATAACCCTTCTATCAATTGGACTCATAGCTTGACTCAAAACTTCGTTTCCTCTCTCGCCTAGACTCGATTTCTCGCTTGTCAGCCTTGACTCTAGACCCTCACATGCTCTTACACTCTTCTGAAAAGATCAAAACAAAACACAATAAAAATAAAAAAACATCAAAATAAAAATCCTAAATTATCCTTAAATACTAGAAGTTTAAAAGAAAAAGAAAAGCAAACTCTAATGACGGGTTGCCTCCCGCAAGCGCTTCTTTTTGTGCGAGTCTTTAGCTGGACTCCCAACTTAATAAACTTCTAATAAATTCGATGCCCATCCATCCATTGCATTAAATATTTTCTTTGGACCAATTCGTAAAATTTGGCTCTTTGCTTCAAAAATTGGCCAAACGAGCTTGAATTCATAAAACCCAAGAATATTGACAAGGGTTGGAACCGGTTGGATACTAATCAAAATGGATCGTGCCTCAGAACTTTCTCCAAAGTTGGAGTCGTCACCCCATGCTTCGAAACACAAACCGGAAGAACAGGGGGCCATGTCGTGGTAATGGTCAAACCACAACTTGGTTCCTGCAATTTTTTCTTGTTCTTCATCTGACCCTCTGCTAGCAATCTTTCCAGCTCCTCCAAATCTCTTTCTGGATTAAATTCTTCATCTTGTAACTCTAGCTCTTGTGACTCAATTGTTCTTGTGTGTTAGCAAGATGTTATCTAACCATCTATCAAATTTCTTCAAATCTTCATCCCATCCACACTCCTCCTCATCTTCTTGCTCAATTTCCTGCACTACTTCTTCAAGAAAAGCATCAAAAGCATCGAGATTTGGAAAATACATAATAAATAAAAATAAAAATAAACTAAAAAAAATTAATCAACAAATAAAAAAAATAACAATTAGCAAATAAAATTAACTATTTAGAACCGTTCCCCGGCAACGGCGCCAAAAACTTGATGTGTGTAAAACCAACTAGTTTTAATCCTACTAACTTAGACACAAAATAAACACACGAAAGGCAGTGTACCTATCGATTAGTAATATAGTTCAAGCAAGTAGGGTATCGAACACAGGGAACGGTAAACAATTAAAATAAATGCTAATATTATCTAAATAAAACAAATAACAAAAAGGGGGTTTTCTCTAGTTTTACAAGACTAGAAACTTAATTAGAATAACCAACACACAAATTAACTAACTAGCAACTAAAACAATTAATTACCAACTAAATTCAATAGTAAAGAGGACTTCTGTTTAGGTACGACTCATTTGTTCCCATGGATGATTTTAATGTATCGGATTAATTCTTCATTGGCTACCGATTAAGATAATTAGGTTCATGTTCG